AAGAATAAAGGTTCCTTATTCTTCCGTATAATCTAGACAAGAATTAAAAATACTTAGCAGTTATGAGAGGGTATCTTTCACCCCCACTGAGTTAATGAATTTTGCGAGAAATGTTCAAAAACTGCCCCGTCTGTCCATAACAGAAGACGATCGATACGTCGAACACCTGTAACAAAATCTCATGCCTTGGTTTGCTATTTATTTTTATTGTTATTAGATATAGTTTAAATGTGTTGATGTTGGTTAAATATATTTTAAATTGATATAAAATTCTGCATCTCTCATAGCAAATATTATTTTCGTTTTAATTGATGCTCACAGCTAGAATTTTTTTGCATTACAGCCGTGCCGTTCAAAGCCTACTTATTTAATACCGGCGAATTTTTATACAATAATCTATATCTCAAAGAGGAATAGAGCAAAATATCAAGTGTGTTATATTTTTGGAAAGGTAATTTTAAATTATTTTCAATAAATTACAAATATACAGGGTGTCCCATATAAAAAATCAAATTTTCAGTTGATAATTCTTAAATTATTAATTTAAAAAAAAATATACTTAAACCATTAAATTCTACGTAAAAAGGTGCTTTGGAAATGTTTTCATAAAAATACATTTTCCATAGCAAAAAAGTTACAGCGATTTGTTAAAAATGCATATTTTTGAAAAACACCCCGTAACTCCGAAACGGTAACGTATCGATATGCGGTTTTCACCATCATGTTTTTGACAAAAATTGAGCTCCAGACACCGATATTAGTTTTTCTCTATCTCCTATAGAAAAGGGTGTTTCCATTTAAAAGCGTCAAATTTGACCCACCCTGTACCTGTATTTTATCACTAAAATGCAATCGATTTTGAAAATATCATGCTTCAGAAAACTCTTGCATGTTTTTTTTTACCCGACTGTTGGACTAATATAAAAAAAGTATCAAATATACATCGGGTAATCCAGACCCTCTCCAAATCTACAGTAAGTATTTGACACCTTCTTATTATTACTACTATACTGCTATTCAAATTTTCACTCTGTGTAAATTCCATTAGGTGCACCTGTTACACTTTGCTTAGTATATAACTGATTTATAATGTAAAAGCAATTTAGGATCAAATTGTTTTGCAGAAACTTATAACGAATCAACCATAATACACGAGAGCTTTTTTAAAACTCTGGATGTATGTACCTAATCATTTTTTTTTTCTTGCAGTGACGAAATACCCATATAGGATTTTTTGGAGAGAGGAATCCGCCACATATGTAGGTATAGACATTTTTTTACCCCTAATCATATTAGAATAATAATTATATTGAATGATTCATTCAATAATTGCATTGGCGTAACTACAGGGGTGACCGGTGGTGCCAGCCCCCCCCCCCTCCAGGTGCTGCTGAGCACCCCCCAGCACCCCCCAGAGAAATCTTGAATTATGACTCTTGGCTACGTATTAATTTTTATTTGCTTGTGATGTAGTAAAAATTACATTTTCTAGTTTTGTTTAGTTAATATTATTTTGTTGCGTTCAAAAAATGTGTTAATTTTTATTTTTTTAGAAAATTTGTGGATATTTAAGTAATCTAGTGGGTATTTAAGTAATCTATAAGTATATCGGGTACACGGTTTGATGACCAAGATGAAATTTATTGATAGAGAAATTCATGTAAAAGTTTTATTCAAAAAATGTGTTTTTTGAATTATTCTTCATTTTTTAAAAAACAAAAGACCTAGGCTCCCCCTAGTCTCAGCCCCAGGCCCCCTCCAGAATGAATTGCTAGTTACGCTAATGCAAACAAGAAAAAGTATATGTATTTTTCTGCAGCATCCATGAACATCATTCTGGTAGTCAATTTAGATAGATCTAAATACAAATAAAAAACTAGGTCAAGACCTGCCATAATAATTATTCAACTATTATTTATTTGATCATGCGATAATCGAATTTTTATTGCTACAATAGGACATATACATACCGACATTATTAGGCTAGTTATATCTCATCAAGCTTATATTTTTAAACGTCGGTTAAATTTAGTTGTTAACATTAATAACTCCAACGCAAAAAAACGAAAATTATTTTTAAACTTTCAGCTTAATGTCAACTCGATAAATTAAAACATCAAAATAATCCGGCCCGCCAAAAAAATCTGAGAAGTTTCCCAACTTCCAACGGGATCAAGTTCAGAGCATAATAATAAATTCATATACGTAGGTATTTCTTTATTTTGACAGGATATTTCCGAAATTTTCCTTTTGATATTTTTTGCTTATTGTTTCGTTTTGTGTCAATATACAGGGTGTTTCAAAAAACATGTGCCATCTCTCGTGGGGAGATTCCTCGCGTAAAAATAAGATTTATTTTTTATATCAACATAGGTCCGATTCTGCTTTGTTTCGTAGATACAGGATGTTAAAGTCTTATTATTATTATTTTTTCGATTTATTATAATTTTCTTCCAAGTACTTTTAGCGTTTTGAATGAAATTTTGACGGTAAAAGTTTCTAAAAATGCGACATATTTTAAAGCTAAACAAGTGTCGACATATTCACCATGGACGTGCATATGGGTTATCTCGGGAATATTTTTCTAAAACAAGCATGTACGCCACTGACTTTTTTTTCTTGTTAGCGAAATAGTATAAACAGTTTAATGCCGATTAAAAGTTGTCTCTTGATATTTTGTGGATTTCGGCCTCCTTGATGAGAGATAAACGAAATTTTATTAATTTGCCTTGATCCAAGTCTAATAGCAACCTCTAAAAAAATTTAATATCATTAACTTGCGAAAGGTTTAAATAAGTACTCATTCATTCCATGGAAAGCACTGGTCATTAAAATGTTGTATCCTATGTTATAGGGCTTGTTTCTCTCTACAATTTCCTGTTTCACAATGTACCGTTGGTGTCCGGGAAGAGTTAATAGTTTCATAGTTGTCCATTTTCGAAAGATATCAGTACATTTATATTATTTCGTATATTTTTCATTTTATTGATTTTATGGAAAGAACTGTTCATTAAAATGTTGTATCCTATGTTATAGGACGTGTTTCTCTCTACAATTTCCTGTTTCACAATGTACCGTTGATGGTGTCCGGGAAGAGCTAATAGTTTCATAGTTGTCGATTTTCGAAAGAAATCAGTACATTTATATTACTTCGTATATTTTTAATTTTATTGATTTTATGGAAAGCACGGTTCATTAAAATGTTGTATCCTATGTTATAGGGCTTGTTTCTCTCTACAATTTCCTGTTTCACAATGTACCGTTTGTGTCCGGGAAGAGTTCATAGTTGTCGATTTTCGAAAGAAATCAGTACATTTATATTATTTCGTATATTTCTCATTTTCTTGATTTTATGGAAAGGACTGTTCATTAAAATGTTATATCCTATGTTATAGGGCTTGTTTCTCTCTACAATTTCCTGTTTCACAATGTACCGTTTTTAACCGGGAAGAGTTCATAGTTTCATAGTTGTCGATTTTCGAAAAAAATCAGTACATTTATATTATTTCGTATATTTTTCATTTTATTGATTTTATGGAAAGCACTGTTCATTAAAATGTTGTATCCTATGTTATAGGGCTTGTTTCTCTCTACAATTTCCTGTTTCACAATGTACCGTTGGTGTCCGGGAAGAGTTAATAGTTTCATAGTTGTCCATTTTCGAAAGATATCAGTAGATTTATATTATTTCGTATATTTTTCATTTTATTGATTTTATGGAAAGCACGGTTCATTAAAATGTTGTATCCTATGTTATAGGGCTTGTTTCTCTCTATAATTTCCTGTTTCACAATGTACCGTTTGTGTCCGGGAAGAGTTCATAGTTGTCGATTTTCGAAAGAAATCAGTACATTTATATTATTTCGTATATTTCTCATTTTCTTGATTTTATGGAAAGGACTGTTCATTAAAATGTTATATCCTATGTTATAGGGCTTGTTTCTCTCTACAATTTCCTGTTTCACAATGTACCGTTTTTAACCGGGAAGAGTTCATAGTTTCATAGTTGTCGATTTTCGAAAAAAATCAGTACATTTATATTATTTCGTATATTTTTCATTTTATTGATTTTAGGGAAAGCACTGTTCATTAAAATGTTGTATCCTATGTTATAGGGCTTGTTTCTCTCTATAATTTCCTGTTTCACAATGTACCGTTTGTGTCCGGGAAGAGTTCATAGTTTTATAGTTGTCGATTTTCGAAAGAAATCAGTACATTTATATTATTTCGTATATTTTTCATTTTATTGGTTTTATGGAAAGCTCTGTTCATTAAAATGTTGTAACCTATGTTATAGGGCTTGTTTCTCTCTACAATTTCCTGTTTCACAATGTACCGTTTGTGTCCGGAAAGAGTTCATAGTTTTATAGTTGTCGATTTTCGAAAGAAATCAGTACATTTATATTATTTCGTATATTTTTCATTCAATCAAAAAAATATGAGAAAAAGTTCTTATAAACATGGGTATGGAAATGCATAGTTTTAGAGTTACAGGATGTTAAAACTTTTTAAATTAGTTTTTTTGTGATTATCTTAAATACCATTATTTTTTTTATTTGAAATTGCTGTAGGTTAGACTAATAGTAATAATAACTAATGGTAATAATATATTTAATAATGAATTAGGTAAAATATATAATTTATTAATTTTATTTTTATTGTAATTTTATTGTAATTTTTAATTAATTATTGTGATTAATAAAATTGCATTAATCCAAAAATAAAATAAAATACCAGGTGTTCCATAAGAAAAAATACAACTTTGATATGGATTTTAGTTCTGACACACCCTGTACATTTCAAAATAATTTTAAATTATGCACATTTCCTTCCCACATATACCCATAAAATATTTTGTTTCTATACCTTCCCCGTTATCGTATAATCAACCGAGGCGAATGAGGTGCGCCACCCTGTATATCAATGTATTTTTTTATAAATTTTATATATTTTGTGATAAATAACCATACCAATAAAAACTAATTTTATATTGGACTTACTTGAAAAAATAATGAAATATATAGGTTCTTAATTTCTAAACAGAAAGTTCCTTCTAGTTTCAACACTTTTAACAACAACACTATCACAAGTTAAAAAAAAACAGTTCAAAAAATATTTCTAACACCACTTAATAACACTTTTTAGTCTTTTATCTGAACTTTTTCAAAAGTTCTCAATAAGAATGTTCAAAAGTTATCAATCACAAGAAAGGCTCCTGACACTGTCTCACTAACAAGTATCTATAATACAAATTATTATGTAGTATAATAAGATTAAAATAATCCTGTTTAATCCCTTGTGTGAACTTTCTTCCTATCGGTAAAAAGTTGGAAATTTTAGCGTAATACGCGTCTTATTTTCGCGTTTGGAGCGCCTAGCGTGCGCCTTTTCCTGAATTGTTGCGCGCCAAACGCCGACGGTTTCGCGACTGAGCCGGCCGCATCGTGCCGCTGCCGCCGAAGATTGGACCTAGTGAACGATCTCTGGTGGCAGTTGCGTTGGCGACAACTTGGCACTCATCGATTTTTTTTTTCATTTTTTCCAGATTTTATTCAAATGAAAATTGCCACTGGTCTAGTCAATAAATTAACAGGCATTTTTAATTAAAGGATATCATATTAATTACCACGACCTAAAGATCTTTTGTGTTCCCCATTTTTAAGTTATAACTCATCTTACATGGAGATCTTCTTGTTATAAGGGGGACAGGGTATTTCCCATCGTCCTCCGAGTAGTGCGGACCTCCCCTCATACGATGATCTACACCCTTCCACAGTTGAAGTTTAGCCCTCCGTGCCCTTCACAGTCGAGGAGCTTGTCTTCGACTAGTTGCGTTAAGTGAAGATAATAGTGAGGATGATATTCCTGTTGCCCGATGTTTAGTTACTCAAAAATTTATCAAACAACTAGGTTTTTTATTCTTTATTTTAGAAAAGATGTTTTTTTTTGTCTCGTTTTTGATGGTTTGATTTTTGTTTTTACCAAAATAAAGGTATTTTGTCTTTTATTTTTTTTTTTGTATTTTAGCCCAGGAACAAAATCTTAATTTCTGATATACGGGGTGGTCCGAACTGTATTCCGAAAATTTCGGCAGCATATTCTGCAGATAAAAGTAAGTAAAAAAGTTCGTATAAATGTATGTCCTAAAATGCTTAGTTTCGGAAATACAGGATGTAGAAGTTTCATTTTGATTTTGATTTGTTTCCAAATAATTTCTGAAGTAATGTCAATATTTGGTTGAAAATTGGTATCTGAGAGTTCTTTGACATGACAAATTTGATTTTCATATCAATATGACTCATATTTGTAGGGGGCGCCACCTACATGTGTTTAACTGTTTTGAAGAGTCATAACTTTTCGTCCGTACCTGTATAAAACTACGGAATTATTCGAAAAATTCTACGGAAAAAAATATACATTTTCGTGATTTTTTACCAAGGGCGCATATACGAAAGGGGTAATAGGGGTAATTACCCCTCCCAGGAAAATAATTATAAATAAGAAAATCTGGTATAAAATAAAATTGTCACAAAATAAATTAATAATGTCAATCAAAATAGAAGTCCAGAGCAATCTTAGTTTGTTTTTTTTTTCCATATAGTCACAATAGCTTTGAGCGAATTAAACGTATTACTTTATTTAAATATTGCCACGACCCCTCCCAAACTCAATCTCTGGATGCGCCACTGTTTTTTACGCAAAAAATGTCTCTTGGTAAAAATCGCTACGAGCAACCGTTCTCAAGATATTTAAAACGGAAATAATCAATACATGTCATTATGCACAAAAAATAAACACGTTGAGTAGATAGTTATTTGACTGAAATAATAAATTTGGTAAATTTTTATTTTTTAAGTTAATCATAAAATTTTCTGCGAAAAAATGTTGATAAAACAGTTTCTGTTGAACTTCTGGCACAAAAATATTTCAAATTTATGATTTCAGTCTAATACTATAATTTATGTCAATGATGACAGGTATTGATAATTTCGATTCCAAATATTTGGAGAACTATTACTCGTAGCGATTTTTATTAAGAAACCTTTCTTAATAAAACGTAACGTAAAAAGTAAACGTAAAAAGCCTCGTAAATGTATATTTCTTTACTCATTGGTTTTATACAGGTACGAACGAAAAATTATTATTCTTCAACCAAACCAGTTAAAAAATATGTAGGTGGCGCCCTCCACAAGTAGGAGTCATATTGACATCAAAATCAAATTTCTCATGTCAAAAAACTCCCAGACACCAATAATTTTCATCCAAATATTAACGTTACTTCAGAAATTATTTGGAAAAAATCTCGAAATAAAAATGAAACTTCTACACCCTGTATCTAAGAAACTAAGCATTTTAGGACATACATTTTACTTATTTCTATCTGCAGAATATGTTGCCGAAGTTTCCGGAATACAGTTCGGACCACCCTGTATATCGGATATGATATACATATATCCGATATTATGATATTTTATATATGTCGTTTCCGTCTTTTCATGAAGTCACATAATGAAAAAAACTAACTTAACAACATAACTAGCCTGCTAACCTAACCGACGCTTCATGAAGTGACTAGGATCTTCACCAAAAGACGGAATACACTATATGTGACTACGACATATAAGACTATAAAATACGGGAGAAAAATGAGAAGTTTATTACCTATCCACTTAATCCGGATCGGTCTACAATAGAATTTGTGATATTTACAACATTATGTAATTAATTGATTATCGGTCCTATTATGTAACTGAGGATGTACGTAACTAAGTAATAGAGCATATTTTTTGGTTAGTTTATTTAATGAAGCGTACACACGGCTTTGGTTGCTGATTCTCGTGTGTCAACGTGTTCAGTACAATACGATATATTGAGAGAGATGCTGATGCACTATTACGTAGACACGTACATCCTTAGTTGCATAATAAGACAGATAATCTATTAATTCCAAAACGTACTAAAAGCGCAAATTCTGTTGTTGAACAATGTAATCAGTATGATTACAGATTAAATAATAATTATGGAGGTGCATATGAAACATTAAACGATTCATCATTGTGTTAAGTTATACCACGTAATTTAACAAAAAGATCAATCATTTAATGTCTCACTTCACACTGGCTCACTCCATTATTATTTAATACTGATTAGAATGGTCGACAATAGAATTTGCACCATTTACTACGTAATACAGCATATTTTTTTAGTAGTTTATTTAATGATATAACCGATAAAGTACACACGGCTTTGGGTGCCGATTGTCGTGCACAGAGTCTATAGACTCTGTGATTGTATAAATGCACAAAGAGAAAAGAGCAAGAATTTTCCCAAGCGTATGAAGTTGAGCTCCGGATTAAGTGGATAGGTAATAATTTTCTCTCCCCGACTTACAAGATTGCCATAGCGATTCACTTCTAGACATGTAGGTAAATGATGACTAAAATAAACGACCCAAGATTTTCTCTTGCCGACCAGTATATTATCGTAGTCTTAAAGAAATTAGAATAAAATAAACTATGTTAAAAATGTTCATGTATACTACTGAAATGAAGATAATATATTTAAGCTAAATGTAATCTATTACAGTTGTAGTAAAATGAGTAACTAATTGTTGAAAATCCAGATCCAACCCTAGATGCCACATTTTTTGAAACGTCTACTTATGCGGTTTGAAATTTTGATGCAAAATCTGGCAATACCGCTCAGAAGAAATGTTCCCACCCATACCCACCCAACTTTTTTCTCTTTTTAATACATTTGATTTGCCATTAAGCTGCCTACATCACTGTCTTACACGTTAAAATCCTATACACAGAGTTGACCTGTCCCGATGTGTATACATATTATGATATATGCCAATCCTGCTTCTGGAGCGACAATAGAGATGAGCAACAAATCGCAAATTGCGATTCAATCGCAGCGATTTGAAAATCGCAATCGCAACCTGTGATTGGCTCACATAGGAAACCACGACTGCGATTTTTCTAATTGCGAGTTTTAATTTAGGCAACCAATATTACTACAGTTGCGATTTGCGATTTGGTTGGGATTGTGATTTTGTAAACTAGGATCGTGATGTGATAACCTTCTATCTGCGAGTTTGAATTTTTAGGAGTTGCGACTTTGTTGCGAATGTAATTTTGTGGTCCATTGAAGCATTTTATAGTAAACTGCGATTGAATGTTTTCTCTGATTTTATTTATTTATAGAGAAGGTATTATCATCTAGGGCCAAGATCAATAATATACCAATAATATAACTTTTTATTTTTTCTAATGAAAAACACGAGATTTGGTATGTAAGCATCTGACATAAATTAGGATTGACTGAAGTAGTCAATTCGTTTCGATAACTTTCTGTTTCACCGGAAATGACTACAACTTTTGATTTTTAAATGGCACTGTCGGTATTTATTTACTTTATTCTATAGAAAATGACACTGTGAATAGAATACCTAGTACAATATTTAATTATTAAAATCGCAATCGCAGATTACAGTCGCAGCGATTAAAAAATCGTAATCGCAGTTTCAATTGCGATTGGAGAATCGCAGTTTTGCTCATCTCTAAGCGACGCGCGACGGTTGTTTGATGCCACTTAAAGGTTGATTCTCACTATACCTTCCATATTAGCTCCCTTCCGTTTCCCTTCCGTTTACATAAAATATTACTTTATGTAAATAAATAGGACAATGCGCACTATCCGTTCCGTTTCCCTTCCGTTCCATATCCTTTCCTTCCATACATTTTTTTAGCGGACGGACTGAAGCGAATCGCAAACAGCGTTGTCAAGTTCTTAAAATTCTCCAGCTCTGTTAAAATTTTGCTGATATTTATTTATTCTTTCACCTCTTAATTAAATCTATTATCTTTTTCAAAAGTGCCCGGTGGCGTAGAGGTACAGGCTCTCGTCTACCAATCTCAAGTTAGTGGGTTCGATTCCCACACCCGGCATTTCATCTGCCGACTATTTTTATTAAAATAAAAATAGTTTGGGTACCTAGGTCGACTCAGTCTTAAATGAGTACTTGAGATTCACATCCTGACGTAATAATAGGCAGTTGAAGCGTAGTGCTAGCCACATTACCTTCCTTGTATACCGAACGGCTCTAGTATGGCAAGCTGTACCTTGCTACTCCCAAGGCGTTAAACGCTATATACGGGAGCTATTATTATTATATCTTTTTCAAAAGATACAAATTTTTAAAATAAAACTTTCGTAATGATATAAATTGTATAATAAAAAGTATGGAACTGATACGAAACGGAAGCTACGTATAACGTCCATGCAATAAAAAATACGTAACGGATATGGAATGGATATGGAATGGAAACGGAAGGTATAGTGAGAATCAACCTTAAAACAACAGGAGGGAACATTCTATATCGTGGAATACGA